CATGGATCCGCAAGATCTGGCCTCTTCCTGTGTCAGATCGCGTATTTCGCCAACCAGATACTTCTTCAAATTGTGGATCCACGCCTCGTCGTCCTGTGCCTGCCGGATCCGCTCGATCCTGAGCTCTTTGATCACTTCTTCGCGCAATACCGGGGGGGGTTGGATCCCGATCTCACGCCGGATTTGGCCTTCGATCTAGTAGTAACGGCCGAGATCTGCACTGCCGGATCCTCCGATTTCACCACCAATATCGCATCCAGCAGGTTCAATGTGAGCAGATCCTGTATCTCGCTGTCGGTTTCAACTTCGATCCCACATTGTCGTTGTAGCGCAGCACTAGCCAGGCTATCTGCACTTCCGTTCCAATTCCGCTTCACATGTACCAACTCATGATCCGGCCGGATCCGCAATCTGTCCAACACCTTTTGTCTTAACAACGTCAATCCAGGCGCCTTGCAATCGACTTCGCCTCTAACTTGGCGGATGACCAGGTTTGAGTCGCCACAGATCTCCAATGGCAGCGGATCCGTTCCTTCCAGCAAATCAAGACATAACAAGAGGCCATGATATTCAGCCTCATTGACAGTCAGACCCTCGGCATAGCCGGATCTGGCCTTCACAACAGTCCACTCAGGTAATTTCCACAGGTTCGCGCTGTAGGGCTGTCGGGATCGGGGCTTGGATCTTGCGCCCTCAGCTCCTTCTTCGGGGCGATCGAGATCAGTGCTTTGTCGACTTCGGATCTGGGTGTGATACTGGCTGCTAATGTGCCCAGGATCTCGTCCTCGCCCTTGTTACACTTGACGATCTCGAGGATCCAGGGTGAAAGTAGCGCGGCCCACTGTCCCAGGCGTCCTTGTAATGCATTGGATCTAAACAACCAGGCCAGTGTGGAGTGTCGCGTCAGCACTCGGATCGGTCTCCCAACCAAAGTATTATAGTTGAGATCCAGGATCCCAACAATGCCAACACCTCTTTCTCTGTGATCCCATAATTTAATTCATTGGACTCCAACGTACGGCTCGCGAACATCACTGGATAGTAAACCTGATCATATTCTTGCATGAGTGCACCGGAGATCGCCCAATCACTGGCATATACAACCACCACAGCTTGCCGATCCGGATCGAAGTGCCGCAGGATCGCGTTTTCGCGATCTTCTCTTTTCGCACCTTGAACGATCTGTGAGCATGGATCCACCGGGGATCTAGATCCGCAAGATTGTCCTTCTCGGGGTTCGACGCCTCCACACAATCAGGCGTCGGATCCCGTGACGCTAGGTTCGGATCTTGATCGCTAAGTTCGGGATCCGGACCCCGCGGATTCGGATCCGAGGGTTGCGGACTCGTCGGATCCTTAGGCATCATGTCTGGATCCGGGGATTCCGATGCTAGTGCTAGCTGGATCCGGTTTCGATTCCTGCCCTTCTCCATCGCAGCATAGTCGATCTCCCTCAACTCATACTGCACGGACGCGTAAATCGCGTAGTCTTCGATGAAGCGACTGTAATAATTCAGGGTCCCCAAAAAGGATTGCATGGCACGCAGGGATCCAGGAAACTCGAGATCCGTCAACACCGACAGATCCTTCGGATTCGCATCCAGTCCCTTGTGCGATACCTTGTGACCGAGATATTCCACCTTGGGCATGCCCCAGAAACTCTTGACAACAGTGATCGACAAGTTCCATGTGTCGCACGCCTCCAGCAGATCTTCAACTCGGTCGCATAGCTGATCCCAATTACTAAGATGCCGTCGATGTAGGATCTGCGTCCTAACACCGATGGCTTACCCGGATCCTCAGGTTCTCCAGCTTCGAATACATCTAAACGTTCCAAATCACCTGCCATTTTCGGGATCCGAGTGAACCCATACAGAGCATTGTCGATCATTCGCTGGTAGATCTGCGGCGCATTCTTCAGCCCAAAAGACATCCGCCTCCACTCGAAAAGCCCAAATGGGGTAATAAAGGCCGAGATCAGGCGGGCCCGATCCGTCATCTTCACCACCCAGAATCCACTCGCCATATCCAGTGAGCAATACCATAGCGTAGACTCGAGATCCTTCAGTAGATCGTTGATCAGCGGCATCGGGTAAACCATCAGCTGCGTAAGACTGTTAACCAACCGATAATCAATGCACAATCGTATATCCACACCATTCTTCTTGATGATCACGACGATCGGCGATGCCCATGGAGATCTTGAGTGGTTGATCATCTTAGCTGGCAGGAGACCTTTGATCAGCTCTGCCAATTTCTCTCGGAACTGGATCCGCAGCTTTCGACACTTAAGCGCGATCGGCCGAGCTCCTCCCACATCAATATCACACACAACCCGTCGGGCCGCTGGTGGGAGCGCATTTCCTTTGCCGATCAAGAGATGTCGGAACTTCCAGATCCGCTGACGGAGTCGGTCGATCTCTTCAGGCGTCTGATCGTCGGATCCGCACAAATGGATATCCTCGATCCTCATAGCTTCCGTCGTTGCTGGGACTTCAGGCAGCACCGCCAGTTGTCCGTCGACATCTTCAGCGTAGAGATCGCTGACTTCGTGGTAATACACACATTCGTCGTAATCCTGATCCGAGTCCCAAGCAAGGTCCAGATCCGATGTGTTCGGCTGATCTTCCACAACAGCTGCCGGATCCTCGTCCCTTTTCTGTGGTATAGACGTGGCGTCCTTCTGGTCCAACGGATCACCCAACTTATGGCTCGTCCCAGATTCTTCACCCATCAATGATGATGGGTGCGACCCATCACCCTTCAACGTCGTCACCTTCGGATCTTGGACTTTCTGAACTGGTGGATCTTGATCCGCACCAGTTACACCACTTAGAGCTTCATCTGCCAATACGGTTTCCACGGCTGGATCCTCGACCTGGGGCAGATCCGCTGTCGTAATACCTGATACGCCTGGATTCTGATCGTCCAGCGCCTTCACGACCGTTACAACATGCGACATAGAGTCGTCATCTGCGATAGACGACAGATCCGACCCATCACGTGCGACAGACGCCACATCCAACGGTCGATAATCCAGCGGTGGGTTGTCCGACGGCGGTTTATCCAAAGGCGGGTGGTCAGAGACCTCTTGATCTCCACTTGATCCGCCCATCAGACACTTGATCGTCGTCAGCCTGGGTCGTTGCAGTATTTCGCGCGGAGTTTCATACTCGGGGAGCTCCACTGCAGGCCTTGGCGGATCTTCCGCATCCGGATCCGAGTCTACAGATCGGAGACCCACGGTCGCTTCGAGGGCCAGATTTTGCCACTCCATATAGCGCCGGGATCCCACTGAGATGAAACCTGGCAGTCGCGGGACGTGATCGCCGGCCAGCCAGATCCCGATCCGCAAGTCCTGGTGGAGGATCAGCACCTTGTGGCCGACGTTCGTGATCCTCATGTATCGAATCCTCCCCGGACCATGGAGTATCGTGGGGACCCAATGATCTCCACGGGTGACCCAGAATTTCTCGTGATCCGAAGTCCTCAGACGTAAGGGAAGCTCCGCTGGATTTCCTGGCTGGATCCTCATGTACTGCCCAAGATTCACGATCCTGGCCTTGTCGCTGTAATGCTGTCGCCTCCTGCGCTAAGCTGGATCCGGACTTCGCCGGGCAAGCTGATGGATCCATGAGCAAGATCCAGGCGGATCCCGGCTGGGACCATGAAGTCCATGCCTAGAATAGCTTCCTACCCAGAGAGATCACCCAGATATTGTGGCGGAGTGGGTTGGCAGAAATTGCTGACTGCCGCTGTCC